CTTTCTGATGAAGGATCTAGGCCCGAAACGTCAGCCTTCCTGCTCCTATGATGCTGCTTGGCCTGCTGTGTTCATCCAGCTGTACACCTTGTTATCTCAGATTTTCCAGCATCTGCAGTTCCTACTATCTCTGATACCATCCAGGATAAACCAGGTCTGATAGTAACACTTTAAATACTTAAACCCTACACCATTGTCTCACTATAGCAACAGTGTGTACAGTCTACATGTAACTTCAACAGCTCACCAAGGCTCCTAAGACAGGCCTTCCATACCTTTTGACCTCTAGCACCTAGATGGACAATAGTAGCCTATAAATGGGAACATCACCACCTGCAAGTTCCCTCCAAGCCACACGTGACCCTGACTTGTCAGTATATTATTGTTCCTTCACCATTGCTGGGTAAAATTCCTGGAACTCTTATCCTTAACAATTTTTTGTGCAGAACAGTGAATGTACCAAAACCACATGGACTGCAGCAGTTCAATAAGCACTGTCAACACCCAACTTCTCTCGGACAATTAGGCATTGGTAATAACCTGTGAATGAATGTTTTAAAAAACTAGTATACATTTGCCTACAATTTAGTGCTGTTGTTGTCCAGCACCAACTGACCTCCTTCTGAGGAACCAGCACCAACTTGATTCACTCTGCATAGTATCAGGAATGATTGAAGGCACTGGATAGCGCAAAGGCTGTGAACCCTGACAACATTCTGGTGAGAGTACATTGAATGGGGCTACAGAGCTAGCAATGCTTCCATTCAAGCTGTTCCACTATAGCCATAACACAGGCATCTACTCAATAGTGTGGAAAATTGCACAGGTATCCTTGAAAAACAGGGCAAAACTCATCGTTAGTTGGAGACATTCTCAGTACAAAGCAAGATAGTTGTAGTTGTTGGAGATCAATCAAGAATATTGTTGCAGGAGTTTCTCGGGCTAATATCCTGGGCACAACCATCTTCAGTTACTTCATCAATGATCTTCCTGCCGTCATAAGGTCAGAAGTGAGGATGTTTGCTGATCGTTGCACAGTGCTTGATTGGCACTTCATCCATCACCTTCAACATTTTTTACTACCTTCACCACTGACACAGCGGCAGCAATGTGTCCCATCTGTACAGTGCACCACAGTAATTCATCAAGCCTCTTCTGATGACAACACCTTCCAAACCTGTGACCTCTGCCACTTGGATGAGCAATGACAGCTGATGTTTCACTTGAAAGTTTTCCTCACAATTTTGACTTGAAACTTGATCACTGTTCCATCACTGTCACTGTGTCAAAATTCTGAAATTTCCTTCTGAACAGTATTGTGGATCCCTACACCCCAGAAACTGCAGCGATTCAAGAAGGCAACTAATCATCTCCTCCTCCAAGGCAATTAAGAATGAACAATAAGTTCATGGCTGGCCAGTGATGCCCACATTCCATGAACAAATAGAAAAAGCTTTTCATCATTTTCAGTCTCCCAATATAATGATTAATAGGTTGCTCTACAAATTCCCCTCCACCCTGTGTTATCATGAATACCACATTTATGTGTATGGTGTTAAATTAATGGTGTGATCTAATCTCTCAGATACTTTCAAATGTTCTTTTACAGTTTCATTGTCTCATAGTTCCTCCCTACCCCATGTTACCACCAGTCCCACATTTTTATACCAGGCGCCTATCTAATTGTCTCCCCTAATGCCACAATTATAGTTAATTCTTTTATTGTTTTTCAGTCTTATAATTCATCCCACTGTATGTTATTCCCAATTGCATATTTTGTTATTTGCTCAATTTGCAGATGTAAACATTGACTCAAGTTCTTGTTTGACTATTCTAACTTCCGTGCAAAGAACAGCGCATATTGGTCATATCTGAACTTAGTGATGTTGATTGTTCAGAAACCTATATCATCGCTGTTAACAAATCCAGTTACTAAATCTAACAAAAAAATCTTAATATGATCTTAGTGGATACTTGGCCTGGTCAAAGGAGAAAAATTGCTTCTTTGATTTCAGACAAGAAAGAAATTTACTGATATGGTGAGTCAGGCAGAAGATTTTTGTGATATTCTGGCCGATTTTCCTGGCTGATATAATTTGTGTGCCATGATTACATTTCAAAATTTGGATGACTTTAGTTTGAACAGAAACAAATAGTATAATTGAATGGGTGAAAGCCCTGTGTGATGTGTATTGAACTAGAGATCGAAAGCAGTCAGATTTGATTGCTGGTTTATGATAAGTCATTGATTTAAACCAGAATGACAGTGAAACTAGTATTCCCAGGGTAGAAAGGAAGTATCTGATTTCTGCTGGAAAAACATTCATAAATAAATGTTGGGAGAGAACAGGACCAAACTTAGTTCTGATGCTCCTCTTCTAAACCTCACTGATAAATATTTCATATAAATGATTTTCATGGGCTGTAAACAGTCTGAACAAGTTTTCAAGCAGACTTAAAGGTTTTGAACTAACTTGTGTTTGTGAAAAACAAATGAAATAATTTGGCTTATTGTTAATATCTCTGACAGTTTTTATTTATTTATTTGAAGGATATTCCACTGTTGTTTCATAAGATATATTTTTTTAATGAAAGTACTAAAGCAGTTAAAACTAATTTTTATTATTTCTAATCATTCTTTCTGCCCATTCTTTCCAACATTAATCATATATCTATGGTATCGATCTTTTCGTGGTTGCAAACATCAATGATTACTGTTTTGGACAGCTTGTTCTCACAATTTCTTCATGTGCTGTTCCATTCTGTTGGCTGCCGTTTTGCACATTTTATGAAATTACATGTAGATTCACACTAACCTGTTAGGAAGATAGTACTTTCTCTTCAGTGCAGATAAAACCACCCATATGTTTCTGTCAGAACTTGCACGGTATTGAACAATGTCTGAAAAATATTTAAACTTGTACTGACTTGACGTGATTAACATTGCAAACAGATATAGTCACAGAACTTGTGTTGTTAAAATTACATTGTAGAAAAGTGAAGTAGGGAAACACCAGAAGAGAGAAAGCACTCCAAGCTTGCTTTTAACACCAAGATCAAAGTAGTCCTGTCTATTCATGGTGACACATCATTAATCATTTCTACTTTTCAGGTATATACCATATTACTATATGATCTGTAGACTCTCAGTATTTGATGGATTTTAAATTAGATGGCATCCAAGGTAAAGAAAACAGGTGCTTTCTAATAAATAATTTGCACCCAACATGACACTGCAGACTTATGCATTGACATGGTCAAACTTGTATCACATAGAGTAGTTGAGGCATTAACCATAGTTGCATTTAAGACAACACTGGGTTAATGCATAGGAGAGACCTCAATAGAAGAAAACCTTGATAGAGGAAAATTAGGTAAGATGGGAAAAGACTCATGTGAAGTATAAACACTGGCATAGACCAGTTAGGCTGAATGATCTGTTTTTGTGCTGTTAATTCTAGGTAACAATTCAATCATATGGAAGATTCACTCTTTGAATTAACCTGCAAATAATAGTGAACAACAGAACTCTGAGGTATTGTGTGACTGTTCTTGACTGGCCTGATAATACTGTTATAAAAAAAGATCATGTTTGAAACCGGCTAAACAACAGTTAGCTCTGTAAAAGTGCATTAAATGCAGGTTATGCCACTGTGAAGATTTCATGACTGAAACTGCTAAAAAACAGGAATATAATATTCCTTTTATTAACCTTCTTTGCTTCCTTTACATAGCTTATATTTCTCATTGACAAAATAACATTGAACATTTATTTTCAGATACTCAGGATTTGTGCTACCATGTCTTGGTGTTCATCCAGTGCAAGAAAATCCACCACAAGGACAGCGTGCAGCCACTTTGCAGGTAATCTCAAGGCAAAAACCTGTGTCATCTTTCAAGATTTAAGTGTGGAGTTTCATTGCTTTAGGTTTTGAATTGTTTTTGATAATATTAAAGATATCAGTTTTAAATTTAGAAAATTTTTTCTGTCTTTTTCCCTCTCTTAATCAGATCTTTATTTTTCTCACTTTTTTTTTGTCTGTTGTGATTTTTGAATTCATCAAATTGAATTCACCTTCCTCTGTAATCCTCCTGTTCATTTCTCAATCTTTTTATTTCATTGATACATGAATCACAAGAAGTTAGAATGCATATTAAGCAAGTGATTAGGATAGCAACTAGAATGTTGGCATTTATTGCAAGGAGAATGGAATATAAAGGTAGGAATGTTTTACCCAGTCTTGGCGAGACCACATCTGGGATAAGGTGTACAGTTTCAATCTCCTTATCTGGAAAAGAATATAATTGTTTTAAGAGCAGTTCAGAGAAGGTTCACAGGACTTGTTTCTGGGACGAAAGGCTTATCTTATAAAGATGGATTCATAGGTTGGGCCAATCCCGTTTGGATTTTAATAGAAGGAGAGATAATTTTCTTGAAACAAAGAAGATCCTGAGATGACTTGATCAGGTCGATACTGAGAGGATGTTTTCTCTTGTGGGTGACTAGAACTAGAGGATACAGTTTAATAATAAAAAGTCTCTTAGGACTAAGATTAGGAGAATTCTTTTTCTCTCTGGGGGTCATTAGTCTGTGGAATTCTCATTAGAAATTAGTGGAAGATAGGTCATTGAATTTATTCAAGACTGAGTTTGACAAATTTTGATTGGCAAGTGATTCAGAGTTATGGAAGAGGAGTAGGCAGAAAAGTAGAATTGAGACTCAGATTTATCATGATCTTATCAAATGGCAAAACACGCTTGAAGGATAAAATGCTCTACTCCTGTTCCTATGTGTTGTTTCTGAGATGTACTCTTTGCTCTGATGTTTGATAATGTCCTAAATGCCCTATTGCCCAAGTTGTGGTCATGCTATCAGAAGGTTCGTAGGCAAAATATATAAAACCTAGCAGTACAATTATAAGCCTAACTAATGGGCACACCATGAGATGCTGTTTGTACAAAATCCCATCCTTTGTCCTTGTGTTTGGTCAAAAACAAGCATTGATCTCATCTGTTCATTTTGGCTTGTTTGCTTCTATTTATCAAACTCATTTTCTCTCCTCCAGGATTTGCAGACTGCACTTCCACTAATAGAAAAATATAAAGAATATTTACTGGCAATTGGAGAGGTAATTTCATTTCAATATTTCAGATTTTCTATACTATTCATGAAACCTAGATCTTGGCAACAAGGAAAATCAGACAAAATCTATATTGTAGAGGTAAGAAATAAAAAGGGAAAGACAACATTGATGAGTCTAGTCTGTATGAACCCCAACAGTAGCTGGACGGTGGGACAGAGAAGAAATCAGGAGAATACAAAGGGCATGTAATAAATGCAGTACAGTAATCATGGGTGACTTTAATCTTTATGGAGATTGGGGTAGTCTGACTGGCAGAGGCAGCCATGAAGAAGAATTCATGGAGTGTATTTGGGACAGTTTCCTAGAACAATATGTTCCAACCATTGATCAGGCTGTTTTGGATCTGGTGATGCATAATTAGGCAGGTTTAATAAATGATGTCGGAATAAAAGAAGCAGTTGATCATAGTATGGCAGAATTTAGCATTGAGGGAGAGATTTGGATCAGAAACAACTGTGTTTAAATTAAATAAGGGTAATTATAAAGGAATGAGGGCCGAGTTGGCTGGAGTAGCTTAGCAGCAAAGATAGTTGAGGAACAATGGCAGACATTTAAGAAAATGATTAATGGCTTACAACAAAGATATATCCCAGCGAGGAAGAAGGACTCTATGAAAGGGATAAGCTAACCATGGTTAACCAGAGCAGTCAAAGAAAGCATCAAATTGAAAGAAAAAGCAATGTGGCAAAGATTAGTGGTAAGCCAGAGGATTGGGAAAGTTAAAAACCAAAATAAGACAACGAAAATAAGGGACAAAATAAACTTTGAAGGTAACCTTGCAAGCACTATCAAAACAGAAACATCCTTTAAATACACGAAGAGAGAAGCTAAAGTGAACATAGGCCCCTTAGAGAACAAAGCTGAGGAAATAATAATGGGGAATCATGAAACAAATATTCTGTATCAGTCTTCACAGTAGAAGACAAAAATGGCATTCTAACATTACTGAGGGGCAAAAAGAGGAGAGGAAATAAATACAATAACTATCATTCAAGAAAAATCACTAGGCAAACTAACTATAGATTGATAGGTGTCCTGGACCTGATGGGATACATCTACGATATTAAAGGATCTAAGTACAGAGATAGTGGATGCACTGGTAGTAATCTTTCAAGAATCCTTAAATGCTGGAAGAGTCCCAGTTGACTGGAAAACTGCCAATGTAATACCTTCATTTAAAAAGCAAAGGAGGCAAAAAACAGATTAACAATAAGCCAGTTAGTTGAACGTCTGTTCGAAAAATATTAGAATCCATTATAAAGGATGTAATAGCAGAATACTATCACCTGCAAGATTCCCTCCACACCACTCATCATTCTCTTTTGAAACAATATTTACTGTCGCTGGGTCGATATCCTGAATTCCCTTCTTCATAGCATTATGGATATTCCTACAACCTGAAGACTCCAGCAATTCAAGAAAGCAGCTCACCATCACCTTCACTAAGATAATGGATAGGCAATAAATGCTGTGCTGTCCAGTGATGTCCATGCCTCATGAATGAATAAAGTAAAAGTAAAACATACAGACCATACCTGAGTAAATCATACAGGCCAGATTCACTGGTGATTTACTTCAGAATAATTTTCTACAGCATCTTCAAATTATGTATGTAATTTGATTGTGTAATCCCATTGTGTAAATTTTATAGTCCTGTAATTTTAGGTCTTGAGACAACTGGATTTTGTTTTTGAAAAAGTGAGGTATTTTCATAAGTTGACATTTTGACGTGCTAAATGACATGCTACATATGCTGGAGAAGAGCAAATTGAATTTGGATCTTTGGATCCCATTGAGGTTTTTTTGTCATTTTAGTTCTTTAATAATCTAATTGATAGCAATTAGTGGTTATGATTATTCAATAACTCCATTATCATTGTATCATTGCAATTGATGGGATAGTAGAAAGCTAACTAGATGGATCAAAATCCTTTGACAACAAACAATTTCTATTTTTCTGTGAAAGCAGGACAGTGGCTTCCTTGCTTACTGATCATGATGAATAAGGCCAGGTTCTATATTTCATGGACAAAGTGTGTTTGTACATTTCGTACATCTACCCAGGCATTCACTCATTAACCAATACAGCAATTTACAAATACAGCTGTGTTATTCATTTGTATAGAGGGCTTCTTATTTATAATTTCAAGTTCCTCTGAGTATATTGCCTTCTGCTCCTTGTTATGTTCTGGCTGGAGACCGATAACTTGAAAATAAATTTTGAACTCTCAGCATTAACTGATAGAGTTCTACTATTACAACTGAGACAAGAAGAGTGCATGTCTGCTTCAGTCTTGCTACTCTACTGGTCTCACACATGCACACCAATCACAGACACCCTCATACACTCAGGCGCTGTCCCTCTCACACTTCATTCATTTGTGGGATGTGGACACCATTGGCTGGGCCAACATTTATTGCCCATCCCTAATTGCTGGTCACGTGTAGGCCAGACTGGGTAAGGATAGCAGATTTCCTTCCCTAGAGGACATTAGTGAAGCTTTCAGGAAGAAAACACTTTTGGCCATTAATGATTAATTCTTGAAAGAAAGAAGTATGTCAGGAATGTTCAGATGGCTGGCATCCTGGCAGATATCGACAAGTCGTGAAACACGTACAATTTTCTCTGGGATCTTTGCAGATCCGGAAATAGCAAGACAGATTCCCTCAAGGTTCTTAAAAGAGCAGCTCGATCAATGGTCCATGTATCATACCAGATGTACAAGAAAGGTTTTTTTTGTCAGAAACAGGAGAGCTGAGCTAACGGGAAGCTTATTTTCTTCAACAGTTTGGACACCAACTCCCCCTATACCCAAAATATTGATCAAACAGAAACCAACTCTCTGGTAGGCAGGTGGTCTCCCACAAACATGTCTAGCAATTAGCTGAAATCATATCGTTTCCTAGAAATGTCTTATGTCCAAAATGTCTTGATGTCCAAAATGAACCTTTTAGAAAAGAACAAGCCAGGTATTCATAGAACTGGAAATAAATCAATTTTTCCACAATCCTTCAAATCTCAAGTGCTCAAAAATTATTAAATATAAAGCTGCCGTAACATTAACCACAAGGTTTCGTGTTCTAAACTAAATATTTTACTCATCAACAGCTAAATAAAAGTAAGTTAAACTAACATAACATTATATTGTGTAAAAGCAAATGCTTTAGACCCCAATTTCTAAATTGTGTACTCCATGATTTACTTTAATTTCAACCCAAGAGTACCCCTACACTTTACAGGATCTTGAGGGTTCCTTCACTTCTGAGAACAAACTAAGGTGTGCCTCAGCTTTCGGGAATTGTTGACTATCCTCAGTATTCACTCGATTGCCTGAGGTATGATATTTCTTGCGTCCTTCGACTTGCTTCCAATTAGGTGACCCTTTAATTCTCCTTCAACACTGTCCATGCTTGTGGACAGCCCAGCTCAAGCAAGGGCCTCACTGCACCTTGCTTATGTCTCCAAATCAAAGATCACCCTCTGTTACTGGTCTATGGTTCCTAGCACATTGCCTTTCTGCTGGTCTGAAAGTCACTTCCAGGCTACCCAGACTCAAGTTTTCTTGTGACAAATCACGGATAAAGTCCAAAACCAAAATGTGTTACCTACAATATATCTTTGCAACATGACACACCAGGAATAGACATTTCTGCTGATTATCCCTAATTTCCCAATCTTCCCTTTGTTTGGGAAAATCACATGGATAATTTAAACCCCTACTGAGATAAGTCTAGACATCCTGTCTTCATAATAAAACTCAGAAAGCATCACCCATTGTTTAGTATTTATCACTTCTAATTCTGATCTTATTAAATAAATATAAGCCAACCTTTGAATTGCAATTGCTACCTATCTATTTATCAGTTTATTCATCTATGAGTTTTCATTTTTCACGTTTAAAAATGTTAATCCCAAAGTTGAAAGTAATATTACTAAAGTATATGAATCATGAAATTGCATATTTTTTTAATTCTCCTTTAATCTTACCCTTCATGTGAACTCTCCCACCCATTTTCACATCTATGTCCTTAGCCCTACTATCTCCCATGACCCGACATTCCCACATGTTAGTCACCCACAGGGTCATATCTGAACACTTCTTTGTATCGCTCTCTACCTCCAACCCCCTCCCAACTATACCATCTTTTGTATACACGCTTGGAAAAAAGATCTTTCCTAATTTGCTTATAACTGCATTTTCAAAAAAAAAAAACAACCCACAACTGCTCCATCATTCAAACGACCACCTCATCTCCAACGTCCACTTTCTCTCCAAAGTTTTTAGGCATATTGTCACCTGCTAAATCATGCTTTTCAGAGACTCAGTAAGTTTGAACCCTCTAGTAGGTTACCTTCAGCACCTGCCATTGTATTGAAATAGCTCTTAGCAAAGTGACAGATGTTATCCTGTGTGTTTGTGACAAAGTAAACTGTACTTTCTTGATTCTTCTCAGTATAAGTCAATACAGTTTCAAAAACAGGTAACAGGGCAGGGAGTAAAGAAACATTAAGGAATCCAACTTCAGATACAGCAGGAAATGGCAAAGCTGTAAGTATATTGATTAAACTAAAAGAGAGAAATAGCAAACAGATGAATAAACCATCAGTGCTTGAGGGACAGTTTAGAGTGTATGGCCCCAATAGCATAAAGAATAAATTAAATAAGCTGCAGGCACGAATTCAAATTGGAGATTTTGATGTCGTAGCTATTACTGAGATATGGCTGCAGCACGGTCATGATTGGGAACTAAATATGCCAGGTTATAGGTTTACAGGGCGGATAGGGAAAATGGCAGAAGGGGTGGAGTAGCCTTACTGATTAGAAACAAAACCATTTCAGTGGTGTGGGAGGCCATAATGAGGGAAAAGTATCCAGTGGAAACCTTATGGATGGAACCAAGGAATAATAAAGGATCTAAAACTGTAATAGGTGTTGCATATAGACCCTTTCGGTAGTAACTCTGAAGTACTTGATTGTATAAATGCAGAAGTTAGGCAAGTGTGTAGCAAAGCCAGTGTAGTATAAATGGGGAGTTTTGACTTGAACATAAATTGGGAGAGGTAGAAGTAGCTGTCAGAAAGGTAGTGAATTTCTGGAGTGTGTCTGGATTAGTTCCCTACAGCAACATGTCCTCAATGCAACAAAGGGGCCAGCAATATTGGATTTAGTAATGAGTAATGAGGCAGATTTAATTAGTAACCTAATTATGCATGAATTTTTATCAAATAGTGATTATAACATGATTGAGTTCAATGTAGCATTTGAAAGTGAAAAGCATGAGTCAGCTACTGGAATTTTAGATTTAGGTAAGGCAGACTTTAAGAAGGTGAGACAGACTGTCCACAGTAAACTAGGAAAATCTGCCAATGGCTAAAACAATTGAAGAATGGAGGATGTTTAAAGAAATATTTAATACAATACAGAACCAGTTTATATACCTGAAAGGGAAAGCTGTACTTCACGGGAAAAAAACCTATGCCAACTAAATAGATAAGGACAGTATACAACTAAAAGGAAGACTTCCAAAAATGGAATAAACACAGATTTGCCAAATGGGCAAGATAGAAAGACCAGCAAAGGGCCACAAAGAGGGGGAGGCGATGGCCTAGTGGTATTATCGCTGGACTGTTAATCCAGAGACCCAGATAACATTCTGGGGACCTGGGTTTGAATCCCGCCATGGCAGATGGTGGAATTTGAATTTGATAAATATCTAGAATTAAGAATCTAATGATGACCGTGAATCCATTGTCAATTGTCGTAAAAACCCATCTGGTTCACTAAAGTCCTTTAGGGAAGGAAACTGCCACTCTTACCCGGCCTGGCCTACATGTGACCCCAGACCCACAGCAACGTGGTTGACTCTTAACTGCCCTCTGGGCAATTAGGGATGGGCAATAAATGCTGCCTAGCCAGCGACGCCCTCATCCCGTGAATGAATTTTAAAAAAAGCTTGTAAGAACTACTGATAGGGATTATAAAAGGAAACCTGCAAAGAACCCTACTTTAATCATGCTTTGGGAAGAATGTTGTGAAACTGGAAAGGGTTCAGAAAAGATTTGCAAGGATGTTGCCAGGATGGAAGGGTTTGACCTTTGGGAGAGGCTGAATTGGTTGGGACTATTTTCCCTGGAGTGTCTGAGGCTGAGGGGTGACCTTATGGAGGTTTATAAAATCATGAGGGGTATGGATAGGGTGAATAGTCAAGGTCTTTTCCCTGGCATGGGGGAGTCCAAAACTAGAGGGCATAGGTTTAAGGTGAGAAGGAAAAGATTTAAAAGGGTCCCAAGGGGCAACTTTTTCATGTAGAGGATAGTGCGTGTAAGGAATGAGCTTCCAGAGGAAGTGGTGGAGGCTGGTACAATTATAACATTTAAAAGGCATCTGTATGGGAATATGAATAGGAAGGGTTTAGAGGGATGTGGGCCAAATGCTGGAAAGTGGGACTAGATTAACATAGATATCTGGTCGTCATCGATGAGTTGGACCGAAGGGTCTGTTTCCGTCCTGTACAGCCGTATGACTCTATGACCTTCCTAGTTAATTGGTTGCAGCGAGGTAATTTTAAAGGATCACATCTCTTGTGGATGCCGGACTAAATGTTTTAAAATAAGCCAATTAAACCTGGCATTTTTGAGTTAACGGAATACTGAGTTTATTAGTAACTCTCACACACAATTCAATTGAAATGAGAGGTGAGTCCAAAAAAGAAAAGTAGATGATGAGGATATTTAGCGTTTACATTGGGTGATACCAGTAGTGCTGAGTTTGGTTGGTGAAACTGTTGACCCCAGAAAACATTGAGGAGCCAAAAAGGGATTACACAGGCTGGAGAACCATGAAACCCCTCTTTGAGTCTCCAGCAGACTGTTGGGGAAACAGTCCAGGGAAACATCAAGGGGTTCTTTATCCTCAAAGGTGTTCAGAAGACAAGAGAGAGAGCAATGGGGACAACTGTCCAAATTCCAAAAAAGTCTGCAGAATCCACTCCTGCTGCAGATGATGGGGGTCAGTGTTGAGGTGGACCACCGGGAGGTGAGCAGCTGCCAAAGCTCGTTGTTTGAGTCGGAAGCCTCCAAAATAATCTTCTGGTCCAGAGTCTGCACTGTGGAGCAGGATGAGAAGTGTTCACAATGGCTCATTAATGTCACCTCAGTCTGACATCCTGAGGATCAGCAAATCCTTTTATGCCAGATTGTATGACATGAAGCCCACAGACAACGCAGCATCCCAGTCATTTCTGTCCTCTATCAGTCTGTTCTGATCAGGATGCTGTATGGGACCTTTTCAGGGGCCTTGGTAAAACTCATGTGGACTGCATCAAATGTGCTATTCTTATCAAACCTTCTTGTTATCGCTTCAAAATTTTCAATTAGATTATTCATTTATTTGCCTCAAAAATTCAAGCATGGAGCTCTTGTGATACTGTGGTCGTGTCCCTACCTCTTGGCCAGGAGGCCTGGGTTCAAGTCCCACCTGCTCCAAAGGTGTATGATAACATTTCTGAACAGGTTGATTGGAAAATATCTAAAAAGTCCATGCTGACTGTTCTTGATTAGCCAGTACCTTTTTAAAAGATTGCTAACACCAACCTTAAGGACTTTTCTCCAATAATCTGTTGTCAGTAAGATTAAGTTGATTGGCTATAATTCTCACTCAATCCTTTCTCCATCTTTTAAGCAATGGTATATTGTTAGCAGTGTTCCATTCCTCTGGCATGATTGTCCTGCAGAAAATTGGAAAATAATGCTCAAAGCAGATGATGGACGTAATAGTTGGACGTTGGTAGATTGTAGGTACCTAAAAAGTTCATAGCTAAAAGCATTAAATACTGAAGCTCAAATTTGTGAACACTCTTGTAAAGTGAAGCCACATCAGAATTGATGGACTGAAAAATATTGTTTTATCTCATTTTCCGTTGATAGATTAATATGTGTACCTTGAATGTGTAATTATGCATCAAAGATCTCATACTTTGTATTTTATTCCAGGTTGGATTGGACTTCACGCCGCGAATTGCCTGCACTGAGGCACAGAAAAATGAACAGAGAAAGGTCTTCATTGAACAGATTGAAATTGCAAAGCAACTGGATTTACCTTTGTAATGTAGAACTTTATTTCTGTGAGAACTGAGAGATGGGGTATAGGAAAGTCCAAGCTACCTGCTAACTATTCATGGCAGGAAAAGATGATTGTACAGGCTGACAATTCAAATTTATCAGCTGTTTGATATTACAACTATGTGGTTAATAGTATAATGAAACAAACTATTTATTTTTCCAAACTCTCCCATCTATTTTCTTACCACTGTTAGTAATAATGCTATAGTACTTACATTGTGCCTCATCAAGTTGCAGTTTTCTTTGAACAGATACATAATATAATCATGCCTCAGAATTTGTACGATGAAGTTGTTTGCTGAAGAAGCCAGGTATACTTTAGAGCCATAATTCCTAGTTTGAGGAATTATTAAAATTAGAGACCTCATTATACAATTTGCTGGATTCCATGCACCTCCAGCTAAAAGGTGAAGGGAACCTGTTGAGGGGAACACTGGTCACCCTGCAGCCATTAAATGGCCAATTGAACTGTGTCCCAAAGTGCTGGAGAAAAACCTGCCTTTGATTGGTTGATAGCTTCTGAAACCAGACTTTCTGATCCAGGAGTTGTAGAAGTCTCACCTTCACTTGTTAACAGATAATTGCCCTTCAGCCCTTTTGGATCAGAAGTCACACCTGAATCAGAGGCTGGGAGCTCTTCAACACTTAGGGACAGAGGTGTGCAGCATTGGATCAGGTTTTGGGGCACTGTTTGGGGACACACTGGGTCTCATGCTGGCAGGCCAAAGAAAGAGACTGGGGTTTGTGCAGGCATGGGGGATTGTCAACCTGGGATGGGGGTATTATGTTACACCAAAGGGTGACCTCTGATGGAACCAGGGACCAGTTAAGAAGGGCCGTGCCTGACCCTTCCCCATGCAAGGAAATCTGTTGGTGTGTCTGCTTGGCATGGCTTTCTTCTGCTGCCAGTTAAATCCTGGAAATGGTAGGATGAGGCACTCGAGTGAGCTTTAATTATCCATTTAGGAACTTCAGTTGGTCCACTGGCAGATGAGTTTCCTGATGCCAGCCACATCACTGGTATAATTACTTTGGCGGCATAGGCAGGAAGGTGGTGGGCAAGCTCCATTCTGCATTTTAGAGTCCTCTACCTTCAAAGTGATTGGCAGGGTGGTGATAAATGCAGCTCTTTATGATCTGCACCTTTGTGGACCAGAAATTTCTGAATTAGCCAGTTTATCCTGGGGTTCCACAAAACATCATATGGAGTGATGTACTACAGTAGTAGTTTTATTCAGCTTCAAATGCCAATACACAGGATTCTAAATTCTAAACCCATCGTAAATTGCACTGTTTAAAAGTTGTTCACCTATTTATCAAAATAGAAATAATGGTCAAAGAGGCAGTGCTTACTGAAATGTCTTGTAGAACCTTTCAGTGCATCTTAGGAGATAAAGCAGCTATTGTAAAACATAATGTTAAAGTTATTTTCAGAAAGCCTGCTCCCTATTTTATTTCAAGGTAATTATTAAATAAGATTTAAAGGCTGCATAATAGTGATGGATAGTTAAACAACTAACGGAAGAAGGAGGCCCCATGAACACCCCCATCCCTAATGTTGATGAAGCCTGCACATGAGCACAAAAGATTAAGTTAAAATGTTAGCAACCCTCTTCAGCCAGAAGGTACAAGTAGATCCATCTTGACCTCCACCTGATGCCCACACCATCATGGATGCCAAACATGGGCCAATTTGATTCACTTCACATGATATCAACAAATGGTTTAATGCAATGGATACATGGAGCAAAAGGTGTGGACCCTGATAACATCCTGGCTTAAGATCTGTGCTCCTGAACTGCCTTGTCCCTAATCAAGCTCTTCCGGCACTGCTACAATATTGGCATACATCAAGAGAAATGAAAAATTGCCCAGACAAGAACAGGATAAAACCAATCTTTCCAACTACCACTCTTATCACTGTATCAATTATTCTCAATTATAAGAAAAGTACAGAGCGATATGGCGTACTGCGCTATCAAGCACGTAATAACCTTTTCACTGACTCTGCGAGACTACCTGGCTCCAGACTTCCATAGACCAGTGGTAAACAAGATCAAAGCTGAATTCCAGAGTGCGGTGAAAGTGTTCACCCCTGATGTCAAGGCATCAAGAATCCCAAGTAAAATTGAAATGAGAGGAAATCGGGATAAAACCTTCCATTGACTGGAGTTGTTTCTAGCACAAAGAAGGATTCTTATAATTGTTGAAGACAATGTATCTCAACTTCAGAACATTGCTGCTTGAGTTCGTTAGTAATGTCCTAGGATCAGTCATTTTTGACAGCTTCATCGATTACCTTACCTCCATTATGAAGTTGGAAGTCAGGATGTCTGCTAATGCTTGCCTCGTGTTCAGTTTCATTCACTGCTCCTCAGTTAATGAAGTTGCCCATGACTATTTGCAGCAAGACCTCGACAATTTGGGCTTCAAAGTGGCAAGTGACATTCATGCTATACAAATGCCAGGCAAGATCCGGTCGAGGAGGTGTACAAGTTGGAAAATTCCCCTTCAGGGCCCAAAAAGGAATTGGATAAGTGCCTAAAAATAAATGCTGTTATAGAAGAAGTGGACTGGGGAAGTCAGACTAGCCATGTTGTTCTTGCAGTGATCTGGCATGAAGACAAATGGACACAATAAAGGCAACACGCTTGCACCTGGTAACAAGATGGAATTTCTGATGCACGACCACCTGAGTCCGCAAAGGTACAAGGACATCATTTCCAGCTGGGCAATGTGAGTCCTAGATGGGACGTGAGACATTTGTTAATTCGTAACATGACAGCTGAGCGGAGAGAGCGTAAGAGAGACAGCTCAAGAGGGAGAGGTGGTGGTAAAACCCAAGGAAAGCCACTGGAGTCTTGAGTATGTTGCGGTCAGGTGATGGGGGCTCCCACGTTCCCTCCATCTTCCCATTGTAGGTTGCTGCAGTCCTACTCCTAGCCTACATTGCAAATAAACTTTCCATTTTATAGACTAATTCTAACATCCTACCCCTGACAACACCCCCCCTAGACACTGCACCCAGGAGGTTGGAGGCCAAATCAGCTGTTATGACTGGATATGTTCCTGCACTGACCACCAGTCTTAGTTCGTATGTTGGAAGCATCTGGAGCAAATGAAGAGGCTTTCCCTTTTAAAAGTGACTTGTGGATTTATTTACATATGAACAGATGAATCAGGAGCAGAAGCTATTCAGCCTTCAAGCCTGCTCTGCCATTAAGTGAGGTCATGGTTAATCTGTTAACCTGTTTGTGCCTTATTTACTTCTCTTTTTGAAAATAAGTGCAAGTCAGTATTTCAGAGTTTGTCTGACTGCTGCAAGATGTGTGAGAGTAAAATAATGTTATTTTGTCAGTCTAAGACGTTAGTGCAAAGGATTGTATAGAAAAATAATTTACCTATTTTATCTTGACATTATTATTTAAAGTGCGTTTGATGCAGATTTTATTAGAATTGGTCAGCATAGGAGAAATTAAGGTTGAGGGAATAAGGCACCTGAAACATTATTAGTATCATGGTCCATTATTTCTCTCCCAGGCCACCATTTCCACCATTGTCTTCTCAAGTGTAATTAGGGATGGGCAATAAATGCTAGTCTTGGCAGAGAAGTCCAGAGCCAGTGAATCATTGCCTTTTAAAAATGGCTTCCTCTTGTACATGATCTACATGCTGAAGAAAGAGGAGCAATTTGAGATCGTAAGGAAAGTCAGTTTAATCATGTAGTGCCACAGGAGAGTCAGACCACTCCACCACTACAAATCCAGCATTATCTGTAAATGAAGGCTACATTCTGAGATATTTCCCAGAATCCTTATCTCAAGTTACCACTCTCTAGATAGTCCGTACATTCTCACATTCCGATCACTTAATCTGAACTATCAACAACTTCTCTTCCCCAGCACTCCTTCCAACGCTATAGCAAAAATGCTGTCCCCTCCACACTTCAGCTCAGTTCTGATGAGGAGTCGTTTAGACTGAGGATGTTCTCTTGCTCTCTCTCTCTCCCTGGTTGCAGCCTGACCTGCTGTGATCTCCAGTATTTGTTGTTTTCAGTACAGATTCCAGCAACTGCAATAATTTGCCTCTAGTCCATGCAACCTACCTCTTTCAGTATCCTTTAGTTAGCCCTCCTAATATTTCCTTCATCTCTTTTGATTAGACATATGTAGAGTCCTGTGAAGTGAATTTCTTCATTAAGTATGTTAATTAATGAAAATGTCTGTTCAATCATGAAACTTTGAGCATTATTTGACTGTCTCATCTCACAAGGATTTGTTTCCTCTCAAATTCTAAATGATCTATCTTTAAAATCCTTGTTCCTTACCTTGCTATAGCATGTGATCCTGTGATATAACACCTGTTTCCCAATGTCAGAATACAAAACCAAACACCAATTCAAATGATTTCTTACAACATCTTTCACAAGTCATCATTTGTTCTGTCACAGTGGGTATCCCTCATGGCCATTGTTATTGCAAATAATTATGGCCCTGGTGATGGAATTGACAACTTTCATTAGGTTCCCAGGTCCTGGGTGGGCATGAGAGAGCTTGACTCTGCATCGTGAGGTCCTTAGCAGGGTCTGCTGCTGCTTCTACCAGGAGATATTGGAGTGCTGTTATATGCTGGTGCCATGAGGGAATGCAGCTTACTAGGAATCTCCATTGATGCTCAGAAAGATTTTGATTTCAGGCACTTAGTCCATTAACAGACTTTGTGAAAGATAAAGTTCTTGGGAGACAGTCAATCAAATATCCTGTGAGTTCCTTTGTATCACCTACACATGCATTGAAATAACATGGAAGTTAAGTGTGTCCTATTTCATTTTGCCAGGGAATGTTGTTTGGATACATTTTTGCTGATTAGTTCTGCTTGGTTTTTACCAAGAAAGTGCTGATAAATCAGTGGCAATTAAATCATCTGATGTAAAGCCACATACACTGAGAAAGCATTGACATTGCAACGCATCCAGTGATTTTTGGCGCAGTCATTATGATTGATGTTAACCCAGCGCTCGATATACTTAATTCAATTTTGAAGATCATAGGGGTGATTTTGACTTTGGAAAAATCAAAAGTGATGGTCTAATACCTGTTTTCCATTGTCTCTAAACTCAAATTTACAGCACATAATCAAAGTTACCATGAGGTGTTCATTTCAAATGGCTGCTTCCAAAGTAATGGTGCCTGCAACATTGGTGGAAGCTTATAGCACCACTGTAAAATGTTTGAATTTAATTTGGCAGTGTTTCCTATCATGCATTTCTCCAGGATATGATGATTTCCAGCCTGGGCATTAAAAGAAATAGATAAGAAATTTGCAGATGCCTTAATAATAATCTTGAAAAGATGCCTTGATTTCAGAATTGTGCCATTGGGTTGAAAAAATTGCCAACATTTCCCCATTATCAAAGAAACATGAGAAAGAGGATCAACTAACTACAAGTCTGTTTGTCTAACATCAGTTGTGGAGAAGATATAAGAATCTGTCATTAGGAACAGAGTGATTGGGCACTTGAGAAGATTTGAGTGGGCTAGAGATAGCATGGATTTCTAATGAGTAAATTGTATCTGACTGATTTTATTAATTTTTTTAATGTTATTAAAGTGGTAGGGAAGGCTTGGCCATCGATCCTATCTGTATGAAGTTTCAGAAGGCACTTGATAACGGCACAGAGAAAAGTTTTATGAGCAAAACTGAAAGCATACCAGATTGCTGGTAGCCACTCCATATCTTGGAAATTGGTTAGGATGTAGGAGAGAGAGAGCAGAAATAACAGTTGGTTATTCTGATTGGTGAGTTGCAACATATGGTGTTTCCTGGGGATGTATATTGCACAATGATTTGGATGAACTGATAAAAACATATATCAAAGTTTGCAGGTGACATTTCAATTGGGAGAAAAAATAAGTAGTACAGTTGACAGCAGGAAACTAAATAGTGAATAGAAAAAATGAATGGGCAGAACTGTGACAAATGGGATTCATTGTGGGAGTACGTCCTGTTTGATTCTTAAGAGACAAAATGATATTTTCTACATCCTAACCAATTGTAAAAAAACTCTAAGGACTCTAGAGAAGTAGAGATTTGAATGTCCTTGCATAGAAATCACTGCAACTTTTTGAATAGAATCAAAAAGATTATTGGAATCTTGGCCTTTATTTCAGGGGTCTTGAATACAAATGAGTATAAGTTATGGTTAAGTTATGCAGAGCTTTGGGCATATCCCATGTGCAGTAATTCAGTCAGCTTTAGGCACTTCACAGCAGGAATAAGATGTCAGCCTTGTTGGGGATGTAAGGCAATACTAATACTAAGGCAATAAATGTTAATTTACAAGGTTGTATAAACTTTTCTTATATTTGCTTTACTGTTGAAGAATGAGAGGTGATCGAATGTTGGCTGAATTTTCTGAGGAATGGCAATATCACATGTTACCACTCCACCCCTTTTTTACAAAAGGAGGGAGCTCTATATTACTGACAGGAGATTCCGAACAGGGCTCCTTCAGGAATACGGAGTTGTATTTCCATTCTGACAGTTTTCTCATAATGCAGAACTGTCAAGGGAAGGCAAACCATGCCCTCCTCCTTCCCCTTTTACAAAGCAGTCATCTGTAGTATTCTAAGGTTAAAATGTTCGGGATCACAGACAGCCACTTTGACAGCTGTTGTAAAATGGTAAATTCAGAAGGTAAGTGTGAGGTTAGGTGCCCGGAGAGTAGGGCACCATATGGGTAGGGGATAGGGTAAGAAGTAAGGAAGGTGCTAGTGTGCCGTGTAAAAAGGGTGCCAACAGGATAAGTTGCCTTCTGGATAGCGGGTATAGGTGCAAGAAGGTAGGGTAGCAGGTGGGCAGGATACCATCGGTAGGGTTTAGAGTGGAAGAAGGTAGGGATCTAGGTAACTGATGGAGTGTTTAGAGTCAGTCAAAGTGGGTGGGAGAAGTCACATCCAGCAGGGGAGGGTGGCCAATCAGGTCAGGAGTGGGGGAAAGCAATTCAGGTCCTAGGGAGCAGAGGCAGATTGGATCCAGAGCAGGGAAAGGACAGCCATACGAGGTGTAGGGCAATCAGATCTGGAACAGATGACTTGGATCAGCTCCCAGGGGATGAAGGAGGTCTGG